TTTTTTTCCATCTAAAATAGACTATTTCTCTCACAAGTCACACCCACCTACCGTGATGGTTTAGCTTATTATATACTTTGACCAACTTTAGCGTTTGACAACTAATAATTTCGGTTGTGATCGATCGACCCCTAAATATTACCAATGCAAAACCATGCATTGTGATTTATTGATCATATAATTATATAATTCAACGATATTATTCTCTATTTTCAGATATATAATACAAAACCATCAAATAATATAAAATAATAACATCGAGTAGTCATCGTTAAGTCGGCTTAATCGCAAGTTGGCCATCCAGCAAATGAGTAGCGACTAGCACCTTTTAGAAGTTTGATCGCCACAACCATATCAATCAATCTTTAGTCTTTTTTTTTTTTTTTTTTTTTTTTTTTTTTGTCAACAGCTATATTAAATTGGCTCAAATGAGCAAATGTCGTGGTAAATTGTTTACATAGGTAATAAGTTGCGGCTGGATACGAACATTACGTGCCAGTTTATCCGCTTTCACATTCGCATTTCGAGAAACTAAAGATAATGAGAATACGTCGAACTCTTCCTTGTCGCTCTGAATCGCCTCTAAGTATGTTGCGAACGCTGGCCACTCTTGCGGGGAAGACATCATCTTCACCAGGTCTGAGCAGTCTGTAAAGAAAGCTACTTCTCTCTTGTCTTGGCCGATCATACATCTCATCGCCCAAATTAATGCTTCGACCTCTGTTTGAAGTGAGGTTAAGCTTCTTCGAAGATTAGCAGCTCCCATGTCTTGCGTTCCATCATTCAGGTTAGAACAAAACCAACCTACTCCGGAGAATCGATCACTCTCCTTCCAAGACCCATCTACATAACACTGAAACCCATTTCCAACTTGCCTTTGCTCGTCAATCATGGAATGTGAGTGTGTATTCCCCACTACCGAGTCTACAACTTCATCCGGTATTTCCACCTGAGCTAACTGCCAAGCTTGCTCTTCATTCTCTGCTAACCGCAAAATCTCTTCTGGACTTTGATCTACATTATTATAAATTTTATCATTTCGTGCTTTCCATAAATACCAAATTATCCATGGAAACGTAGCTTTATAAACATCCGATGATATTCGCCAAAATAAATAATCCATGTTTGCATATAGTGAACCTGAGGGAAAAACTGCGGGGGGGCGTTGGAATCTGTGATAAAGCCCATGTTTGGCGTGCAGGCGGACATTCAAAAAGAACATGGTTAATTGTCTCTTCAGTATCCCCACATCTGTCACAACCTACATCGCAATTAACCCCACGCTTTCGGAGGTTTGATGTAACCGAAACACATCCATTTAAAGTCTGCCACATAAAATGCCTCAATTTAGTCTATAATAGAATATTTATACCAATTTTAAATGCATATCAAACATGCGGTTAAGGAACGCAAAACGTCGATCGTTGCTGCTACTTGAATTAGTATATATGTTCATACCCAAATTTGTAACCAACTTTGTCTTATATCATCAATTATTTAATTTGTAGTTGTTTATTTCCGTAGAATTTGTCTTTAATTTGTATATTTATGTAAGACTAATTCCAAGAAATATTAAAATTACATAAAATAAAATATAAAATATATAGATAGACAAAGAATTATGGAAAATTTGAATAAGTTATCACATTTGGAATTATTCACAAAACCAACCACTGCTATGAACTAAGTTTAGAGGTTTGATTTCACATTTTTGGAAAGGGGGTTATCCTAAACTATTTGATTTTGGGTTCAAACAAAATTTTGGTGTGTGGATGTTCAATAATTCATTATTGGGTCTGATTGGTAACACAAAGATGTACACGTTTTTTAACAGTAAGCTTTTGCATAATAGTGAAAAACTGTAAGAAAGAGTGGTACATAAAAACTGTACAAAATAGTTGAGAATAGCGCTTTTGGTAACGTTTTTAGTATTGATTTTGTGATTGGTAATTGTAAATGCAATACACCATGTACCTCATCAGTACATGGTTACCAATCAAAACCATTATTTAATCATTTTTACATGGATATTGCTAGTATTATAAAAACAGACCATCTAGATGCAAAACGGCCATATGCCTTATGAATCATACGTTTTTGGTAGTAAGTGATCTCAACCGTTAAAATTATCGTTTATTTATTTATTGATGTAGTTTTAATTTCTAATTACATAAGAATAAATTTGAATTTCTAGATTTATAAACTATAAATACATTGTTATTATAGTCAACATATATTTAATGTATATAGAATTGATTTTGTGGTATTAATTATATTTATAATATGATCAACAATATTATATTTATAGTTGATTGTGTCTGAATAAATTTTTTTTTTTTTCTTCCTCATGATATTTGAATTTTTATTATTATTTTCAAATTGACTTTTTGTGCAATTACCATATATATATTTTTTTAATATTTTAGTTTTGATATTCATAATTTATTTTTGATCTTTAGAATTCAGGCGTTAAATTTGATTAACAGAAAAAAGCGTTGTGTATTTTTAAGATTTAGAATATTTGAATTATATTACCTTAAAAAATATGATATTTAGATGTTATAATATACCTAATAGTATTGTTTTATAAACAAAAATTAAAGTAGAATACACGTAGAAGAAATACGAGAGAAGTTGGAAACATTTCGAGAATGCTTGCAAGTACAAAATATTAGATCGGCCTTGCCACTAAAGAAAGCTTTTTCTAACTAATTTTCATATTTGGAATCATACCTATACCTAGAAGTAACATAAATTCTTATGAACACATCAGATTTATATAACTGTCTTTGTAATAAGTAATAACTCTTTTAAATCAATAAAAGTTTGTTTTCATAGACATTCTAAGTGCTAGATTCTGAATTTTCACATGCTTAGGGACCAACGATTTTTAAAATATTAGATATTAGATACCAAAAAAAAAAAAAAAAAAATCGATCGTAAAGATTGTTAAATTCATAGATACTCAACCATTGACTACAATTACATTAACAATTATTTGCAATTTTTGGGCCTACATCATTACAATGCAATAAATGTCTAAAAATTATAGAAAATTTGTCTCTGTGGAAATAAAAAGATGCAAGGATCTCTTGGATAAAAACGTGCATGCAGAAATCCTTAAGAAAGTTGAGACATTGTAGCTTAACAATCTCGAATATAACTTTTCAACTTAAATTCATCAGAATCCTCTTTATTGTATATCTATAGAGGATATATTTTTTTTCAAAATGCGTATGCATATATAAACACACATGCTAGACCAAAAAAAAAGTATTTGAATTTTGACAAAAAAAAAGTATTTAATTTTATATATAGATAATGTTTCTGTAGTGACAAGCATGATGATGTATCGAGATCACGATAAGGGATAGTTGAACAGTAAATTTGAGATGAAAACTTAAAATAAATAAAAACAGTTGACACACCATTTTCTCCGCGAAGAAGAAAATTCATAAAATCTAATAAAAAGTCACGATCATGTATTAAAATAAAAGATTATTATGTCGGCTCTACACCAAAATAATTTATCTCGTTAAGTTGTCTTGATTCTTGAATTCTAAAGGGGACCTTTATTTATTTATATATACTATATTTATTCTAAAGTGAACTTTAATGAAATTTGCTTTTCGGAAACACGATAGATCATTGATTTCACATTAGATCGTAATCTTCTACATAATTGCATTAGTTCTTGACCTTATTTTTCTTTAGTTTCAAAATCATAATATAATCTCTTAAACATAAAACCATTTTAGCTAAGTTCTGAAATGGCAGAATAATAATCTTTTTTTTTTAATCAAACTGATAATTTTCATTGAAATTAAGTTTCAAACTCATTCTCTTTTGAGTGAATTACAAGATAACAAAGTAAAAATTCCTAAAAATACTCCAGAAGAAGATAGACTAAGGATAAATGCAAGATACAATTTTATAAAGAAAGCCAAACAAGATCAAAACAGAATGATCCCAAAGAGTCCACGAGCGACTGTATCCAGTGCAATCCGAAGGGTTACAAGCTTCGCAACAAGGGCAGAGGAAGCTAACACCCGAGAGGAAGATCCTTGCAAATACCGGCGGCGCTTGATCATACAAACCATTCCAAACAAGAGGGATATTAATTGGGAAGACAAAGAGGCAATGGGTGCCAAGACGAGGAAGCATAATCCTAAGCAGAGACTGCACTTTCCAAATTACATCGACAAAAACATAGATCTCAATGCTAAAGATCAGGACAAAAAGTTTTCATTTTTTCGAAAATAGATGATGTACAATGTATTTGAAATATAATTAGAGAAAAACGAAACCTTATTAATATACAAAAACATATCTTATAGCTTTTTTTATTATAATTTTGGATACTCTACTAATCAAAGAGTTCTTACTATTTATTATTTAATCATTGGGTTGTTCCACTATCCTATTATTCATACGACATACAAGTCATATTTATAGGGTTAGGATAAGTTACCATAATGTGGAATAACTTACAATAAACGTGAAAACTTGTGGATTGTTGTCACAATCACAACTATTTATTATCTTTAGATCTCACACAAATTTTGTTCTGTCAAGTGAATGTATCCAACGTCAAATTGGCAAAAGCCAGCTAGCTATAAACAACCAAAAAAAAAAAACACCTCTCAATAGTTAACACAAAAAAATAGGGTCATCAAAACACAAGCAAATATGGACTTATGTTGTTGTCATGATAAATAAAAATATGTACGGGTCTTTTTAAGAGCATCAAATCAATTTAGCCCGTGGGTCCTTTTTTCTTTTACTTACTAAAGACTTAGTGAAATATTTGTCCCATATCTCCCTTTACCCCTACCACACCCCACCTCCACCCTCAAACTATTGTTGCATATAAATAAGGAAGTGATTGATAAATGTAGAGACAAATACCCATCAAACTCTGTCTCTCACTTTCTTTCATTATTAGCTCATTGCCCAAAATAATTCATTTATCATATCCCCAAACTTTTTTTCTACACCTCAAAATCCAAAAAAACACAAGGGTTAAGTGTGGCATTGATGTTTTTGGTATAAAGCTCTTCTTAAAGTAAGATCACCAATGATAGCTTCAGAGAGTACTTCCAAGACCTCGGAAACTAACTCAGTAAGTCAAGAGACCAAAGAAGAGAAGAAGAAACCGGTTAAAGACTCCGGTAAGCATCCGGTTTACCGGGGAGTCCGAAAGAGGAACTGGGGAAAATGGGTGTCGGAGATACGTGAACCGAGGAAAAAATCCCGTATATGGCTCGGAACGTTTCCTTCCCCGGAGATGGCGGCGCGTGCACATGACGTAGCTGCTCTAAGCATTAAAGGAGCCTCCGCTATACTCAACTTCCCAGACCTAGCCGGCTCTTTCCCGCGGCCTAGCTCACTTAACCCTCGAGACATCCAAGTCGCGGCTCTCAAAGCCGCACACATGGAGACCTCGCTGTATTCTTCCTCTTCTTCTTCTTTCACGTTTTCATCTTCACAGTCTTCTTCTTCGCTTGAGTCTCTTGTGTCTTCCTCTGGGACCGGCTCCGAGGAGCTAGGGGAGATCGTAGAGCTACCAAGTTTGGGATCGAGCTACGACGGTTTGACTCAACTAGGTAACGAGTTTATATTCTCTGACTCTGCAGACTTATGGGCTTATCCACCGCTATGGTCAGAAGATGATTATCAAATGATTCCTGCCTCGTTATCACAAGATTGGGATCTTCAAGGACTGTATAATTATTAAGTCATAATCATAAAAAATTACTAGTAATTTTGTGTTTAATAATCACTTTTTAATGAACCCTTTATTTTGTAGGGTGACTTTAGGGTTATTTGTCTTTAAATTCTCTTTTTCTCAATTTGTGTGTGTGAGAGAGTTCGATATATGAATACTTGTACATACTTCTCATAACATGTGTTTTTTTTAATAATCAGTTTGGAAAATTTGGAAAATAAAATAATATTGGACTAGCTAGTAGCCAATGGAAGCCACGTACCTCTCTATTTTGAATGTAGGTTGTTGATTTAAAAGTATTATTATTATTTTTGATAACATTGATATAAAATTATGTAGGTTGTTGATTTAAAATAATTGAAGATTCCTTTTCAGTTTTCTCCCTTAGAGGTTAAAACTTTCTTCTGATTAAGCATAAATTAATACTGACCAATTGTTGGTTTTTGCCTTTACTTCTTTCCACTACCAGTTATTGAATTTTTATATCTGTTGATGTATATTAAAATATCCAACACTTGAATTATTTTGCCTTCGAGTCTATTATTTTATTTATCAAACAATGACTTACTCATTGCATTTCCTTTTGCGACCCAATAGTAGAACAAAAGAATCTCCTCTTCGGTCTTTGGAGCACTAAGTTCTATATAGTGTTTATTATTGTAATACAAGTAGTTTTAGTTTGATTATGTGTAAATAAATTAATAACTGTAATGAATGGTTCAAAATGGATCCCACTTTCTTTGTTAATTTGGTCACGATCTTACGTATCTTTTCTTTTTTTCGTCGTTGAAAAAAGGCTATAAACTTTAATGATTAACTGTAATTAGAATCCGTCACTATCCATTAAATACATTGAAAGAAGAATCTATTGAAATGACTTCTCTATAATCAAAGACTAGGATCGGACCCGCGGTCCACCGCGGGGGAATATTGGTTTACATACGTTGATTTTAATATTGTGCGTGTTTTTAGTCCAATCGTGTAATGTACTTATAAATATTCATAATAACAAATTGTAGAGAAAATGTTAAATTGTTTATAATTAAACCCATCATATTAATTATGATTTACAAAATGAAATTTTGTGTTTTAGAATTCTAAAATTAGACGATTCATGAGAATTAGAGCAGTCAAAATAGATCAAAAACCACGGGTCGAGCCCAAATCATCTCACTATAGGGAAGATTTGGGAAAATTATTAAACCCGCAAATAAGCGGGCCACATAGATTGATTCACAGTGGGTCATAGGTTTTAATCGGTTTTCGTCCGCAGGTTGGCGGATCAGCCCGCATGTTAGTATTTATTGATAAAAATATAATTTATTCAACATGTGGTAATTTAAAAAACTGTTAGTAAATGAAATTATAATATTTATAAATATAATGATATATAAAGTTGTTTCTCTATTTTTTTTTAATTTATTTATTTTAGTAGTATTTTAAATTTTGGTTACTTTAAAATTATTTAAACAAAATCCACGGACAACCCCGCAAATCAGCATACATTCGCGGGACGGGTTTGTGTTTCATATATGCTATCCGCGGGTCTTGCGGACCGACTAACTACATGTCAAAATATATTTTGTCTATCGCAAAACGGTCTTAACAGGACGAATCAACTCGCTTTGCCAGCTCTAATAGGAATATTATTTAGTCATACAACAAAATGGAGTTTGGACATAGGAATAATAGAATCTACATCTTATTTGTTAGATAAGAGATTGAAAGGTGAAATATAATGATTAAAAATTAATTAATATTTTCATGATTCACAAAATTTAATAAATATTTATCATCTTGTTGAATAAAATCTAAAAATCATATTCAAGAAATCTTTATAATTTGAAAATTAAACTTCTTTGGTAAGCTATAAGTATGAAAATACCATAATTTCGATTTAATCTAATTAAATTAAAATTAGTTACATGGATTTCATATCTATTTAATTTACATGGCCAAAATAAAAATATCTATTTAATTTATAAAATAGATGGGTTAGTTGTGATAAATTTTATAGAAATCTTTAGAAGCAAGTAAGATATCTTTCAATTACTGATAATTGGATAAAATAAGCAAAATTAATGACAAAAACGTGGATTGTTATGAAATTAGTTCCTAATATATATGAACAAATAAATTATACGTAATTAATGTATAGTATTGTTCGGAATATGCTTTTATAATTACTTACCATAAGTAAAATCAGATTTTATTTGATTTCCATAAACATTTGATTTTAGTTCGATTTTTCATTATTAATTCGAATTTATATTCCAAAAAATTTCAAAGATCCGATTTCAGAATTTCGGGTCAATATTCTAATTTTGACCCGACCCATTTTCATTTGTACTTCTCTTTTAATAGTATAGAGATTAACGTAATAACTCAATGCAATATGTTTATCCGTTTATGGTTCCATGTATACACATGCATATAACTACGTAGGTATCTTTGCCGTTAAAAACATCCAAAATTTCTAACCATGTTAAAATAAATTTAAGTGTTTAAAAAGATTTAGTTTGTCCAAAAAAATGAAAGTGTTAAATATGATAACTAAATTTTTTTTTTAATGAAAATTTTGCAAAATAATGTGGCAAATTGTTGATTAAATTAAATTTAGTTATCAAAATTATAACATAAATAATTTTTCATAAATACATTTGATTTCATCTATTAGAGTTTTAGTTTAAATAAATATCAAGTCAAGGTTGAAAAAAAAATTATATTTGCATTCATTTTTTTGATTAGTGACTAACACTAATCAAAAAATGAATGCAAATATAAATTTTTAATGTTTTCACTAGATCACTAGAATAGAAATACAAAAAGCATGCATGAATCATATATGATTGGAATTCGTTGGCAAAGGAAACGTAAAGATCTATTGAAATTTTTTTTTGTAGAAAACGAGTGTACACACAAAAAATTCATTTTTTCTTTAAAGAATAAAATTGAATAAGTTCGAATATCTCGGAATAAAATTAAGCATAACCTTTCAAATTCAAACACAGAATGAACTTTTTTGACAAACTTTTGATTTTAATTTTCACCTTTTTCTTGCTTGCCATTTCAAGAATGCTCTCAATTATTGTCTTTGTGAAAGATATTGGATAGTGGAGTCCGATATCGTAAGGAAAAGTATATACTATGTGAAAAACCTTAATTTTTAAATGTTTGTTCCGACAAGACAATATTGAATTTTTAACTTTATCAAAGAAGTTATAAAAAGCTGACATTTTATTGTTAGAAAATTTTGTAATCAACGTCCAGGTAATAGTTGATTATTAGAATAACTAACTCAGAATAATGCAGCCTTCAAAGCCGTTTCTATGTATTGTTGCATTTAGGTTTTTAATTATATAGATGTTCTTGAAAATATGATATCATCAGGCATTCCAAACATCTCTTTATAAATATCTCCATTTGATATGATTACTTCTAACTATTATATTAGTCGTTCAATCTTTCAATATTATATGATTATAATGTGTATTAATTAGAGTCAGTCATTCAAAACATCGATCTTTTTCTACATATATCTCTATTTCATATATGATTCAATCATGACTATATTTAAAATGTGATTAGAGTCTCCTATGACTCAAACCCGAAATCTCCAATATTTTGACACTACAAGAAAACATGGATTTAGCGACTACAAGAAACGTCACTACAGAGTCGCTAAACACATAATAACGACTAATTAGCGACTAATAAACGTTGTCGCCGAACACTGCGTCGCTAAAATAACTAGTAGCCTAATAGTCGCTAAATAGCGACCATTATGCGACAACTATTTTAAGTCGCTTTTACGTCGTGTATGAGTCGCTAAAGTGGCAACTGTTTTGCTACTAATAGGTCACTATTGGGCGACTGTTTCGGCGACCAATAGGTGACTACGGAATCGACAAAAAGACACTACAAGGCGACTGTTTTATGAATGTTTTAGTGACTGAATTGCTATCGTTTTGCGACTTATTGGAGGTTTATTTATCGATTTTGCCTGCTTATTTTGATTCCAATTACGTTTGCATTTTACTAATTAAAACCAAACATACAAAAACAACTTTTGAATTAAAAGAAGTTCTTAATAAACATAAAAACATACAAACGCTCCAACTCTCTCTTCTCTTCAAATGTTGTTCTCCACAGATTACTAAAAACAGAGATCAAGCAACAAGACTTAAAAACAAACAGTGTGATAAAGGTAACAACGAAGAGTCTTGACATGAACAGACTGTTGAGGGAGTTCCAAGAATATCTGCAAGAAAAGGGGAACCTCTTAGATCTGTCTTTACGCGAATAAATCCATGCAATGACTTAACAAAGAAACTGTTGTTAAGGAACTGTTGCACAGAATGAAAGCTCATAAAGGTCATACCAAAGAATATTTACATTATCTGTTTGCCAAGTTCTACAACATTTGAATGAATAAACAGCTGAACACTACCCAAAAAACAAAGGGCTCAGAATAAATTATCTTCTTAAAAAATAAGAATGCTCACAGTGTCGTTGCTGTTCTTGATCGATCCACACCAGATCCTTTTGCACATCCAGGTTTTTGTCTATTTGCCAAGTTCTACAACATAATCAAAAGTCAAAACCATCATTAAAGCAAACACCAAAAAGTTACAATTCAGAAGAAACAAAAAAAACATCTCTTACTTGCTTTTATTTTTCTTCTTCTTCTTCTTCGTTGAAGTCTCAGCTTCAAAAATAAAAAAACACAAGTCTTTTATTAATCAACCATTCTCAGAAAAAAAAAGATCAAATCGAAAACTTTGATATCGTAAGACCAAAATAAAAATCAAGTTATTTACCTTTGCTTCCTTCATCTTCATCGTTGTCCTCTTTACCATCTTCTGCAATCTCAAGCTTCTTCGAAAGCTCAGATTCCAATTGTTCATCTTTTCCATTAGAGGATTCAGCGCCGCCATTCACCACCACGGGAGCTACAACAACAACATCAGGGCTTTCGCTCGCCATCTTCAAATTCGATTCTCACCTTAATAATAACCCACTAACCAAATAAACAAAACTCGATGAGAATCGCAAGGTTTCTAGGCCTTCGAGTCGACACACCAGAAGATGTGGGTCGAGTTGGGACAACGTGTCGCTTCGCCGGAGACTAAGATCTATAACCCTAGCTAGAAAAAGAGTGAAATCGAGAAAAGGTATAGACTAATCCAACCCTAGACAGTCCTAAACATCCACAATAACAATAGATCTAACAATAAATCGAGAAGGAGAAGAAGAGACGAAGGCTACGTACCTGGCGGACCCGAGCTGGAGTTTCGTGGACGCCGGCGGTCCTGCTGTTGGCCGGAGGAAGCCATGGCCGTTCAATGATGAAGAGATGAAGACGATGAAGTGATGAAGTGGTGAAGAGAGGTGGCTAGGGTTTTTCAGATTTTCTAAGTGTTGGAGACTCGAGTGGTATGTCTCGAGAGATATATAATGGGCTTAGAAAACATTATGGCCCAAATTTGGGTTGTGTTAACGTGGGAAAACAAATAATTGGGTTTAGATTTTAGGTGGGAAATCAAAATTTTGGCTAAGTCTTTGGGTGGGAAATCTAAATTTCTAAACAATGAAAATCTTGTGTGTGTAGATATTTTAAATTACTCTATAAATGATATAATTAAACAGTTTACCTATAATAATTTATATAGATTATGTTCATTTTAAAAATAAAATATTACTAAACAAAATTATTTCAATCACACAAAATGGGAGAGAATCAGAGAGGTTCGTCGAGAGAGAATTGGGGATCTAGGGTTAGAGAAACGCGGATTTAATTAGGGTTTCCGCGGTTAGAACTAGGGCCAACGCAGAATATCTAATGGACCGAGACCAATTAAAAGGCCCAATAAGAAATTATAGTCGCTATACAGTGGCTAATTAGTAGCCCAGTTTAGAGACTAAACTTTCAGAAGCTATTTAGTCGCCTAATTTGGCGACTATACAATGACTATTTTTATCCGTCGCCAAATGCAGACGGATTAGCGACTAATGTTGTTTATGCAACATTCAGTCGCCTAAATGTCGCAATTCAGTCGTCATATTCAGCGACTAATTTATCAGTCGCTGAATATCGTCGCTAACAACGTGTTTTCTTGTAGTGTGAATAGCTAGTCTTGAAACTTGAAAGGTTTCACGTCATATATCATGTTTTGGAATCTTGTATTAAGTTTAACAAGAAAAAGCTCTTCAAGAGCTACAAGAAGAAGCATGCATGTAGAGTTGTGTTTTTTGATGACATCTAATACACGATCGTTTCTTAACTCCTACTCACTGAACAATCAATTGAGGTTTTTGACACTTTTTCAGGCAGCTTGATGAGAAAAGTTCGAGTTTCACGATCCGTTTTAAGCATGTTTGAGGATCATTCATATTCAATATCATCAATTTTGTCGGCATTACGGAATTCACCTTCTCGAGGCTATAATTTATAAATAAACTTTATGGCTTCCATGAAAATTTTCAGAATTTTCGAATAGCAAATGTATCATGTATGTAATGTAAAATTGTATTACAACGTAAACCATCTACTACGGGTTTAATTACCTCTAAAATGACTAAAATTAAGCAAGTTGACTTCGGGATACCATTACCATTTGGACTATATACAATGTACGTTTATGAAGTCAAACTTTATAAAAAGAAATTTGACACGAGTCATGAATCTTAGGGATAATTAAAAAAATTACGGTAAACTCTAATAAGAAATTCTAGTAGTGAAGAGTAGAAATGATCAATGACCGTAGGAAAAGAAATTTGGTCAATTCTCATTAGCAAGAAACAATTCGTGCATTTTTGTTTGCATCTATATTATTGCAGAATTGGCAATAAAATAAAAAGATGATTACATTTGATAAGACTATTTAAATTTGAAATGACATTGCAACGGTTGTTGAATGATATGATGGCACAGTACCATCCGTTTTACTAATATATAATTATATATATATCAAAGACAAACTTTTGGACTAATTCTATTTGAAAGTTTCTAAGTTTGCGACTTCCAATTCTGTTTAATTCGACATTACCAGTATTATGAGATTTTCATAATGAAGCCTGAAAAATCAGGCCATGAATGTCTATTACTCCCTCTGTTCCTAAAAGATTGATGTTCTAGCTTTAGTTGTTTGTTCCACAAAGATTGATTTTCTAGCATTTATCTTTATTTTTATTAACTTATAATAGTAAATTGTAAACTTTAAGATACAATGATTATAAATCATTAACTTTCTTAGACTACTATTGGTTGATAATTATTAAAAATATATAAGATTAAAAACAATATTAAAATGATTAAACAATGATTAAGTTATGATTAAGTTCTTAATATGTGTGAAAACTCCAAAACATCAAACAATTAGGAACAGAGGGAGTAGTTTTTAAGTGGTTTTTGGTTTTTAGATTTTGGTTTTTGGATTTCGGTTTTTAAAATTTTGGTTTTTGGTTTTTTTTGCTATAGATATAAAAATTAATTAAAAAATCAAAAATAAAACACAATCACATTGAAAAATAAAGTTTTCCACAAAAACCTCAAAATCATGGTTTTTAGTTTCTCTTTGAAACTTGGAGAAACCACTCAAAAACTAGTTTTTCTAAATTTTAGGAAATCTAATTTTTTAAAATCTTGAATGGTGAAAAAATAGATTTTTCCATAAACAAAAACCAAAAACTACTTAAAAACTAGTAACCATTCAAGGCGTCAAATAGACTTATGTTGATTACATGATTTAATACCTCATGTTGATATCTTGTTTATCAATTGTTTATTTATTTATTTTGTAACCGTTAAATTAGATTTTCTATTGTTCGTAGGTCTGTATTTAGTTTTTACACCATTTTTTTGGATATACATAATTTTGTCAATTTATTCATAAATCGTTAGGTAGATGCAGACCGGTCAAATAAGAATTTTGATTAAACAGGTTCTGCGGATGTGAGTCTTTCATATGGCGGTGTGGGTGCATGTCATAGTATTTAGAGAAGCGGAGTATGAGGGTACCCGCATATATGTGAAATTTAGTCGTTTTAAGGTTTCTAGAACTATAAAAGTAAAATTGTATCATTTTTGACACAAGTAAAACTGTGTCGTTTTCTTTTCTAACACAAATGATATAAGCGCAAGTTAACTAACTTTTATATGTGGTGGGTTAGCCGCCAATTTGACTAATGTGGGACGGTGCGGCCGTGCATGTATCTAATTTACAAACCGTGGATCAAACATGTTTTTTCAATACATAAATCTTGTATTTCAAGTGGATTCGAACCCATGACCTATTATAGACAATAAAAACTGTAAAATGTTTTTTTTTTTTTAAACGAAGAAAAGAAAAAGAAGATGTTAGTTGATTTAGTAATTGCGAAGAGTGTGACTGATGATTGCAGACTTCAATCGTATGTTGCGGTTGGTTATCCTTCTTGGCTGGAGGGTGTCTTCGCGGAGGAAAGGGCGTTTGCCTCTGATTGAATTAGAGTTTTTGGGTGATTTGGCTCAGTTTTTTGGAGCTCATTCTTTTGTAAAGGCCGTTGCTTAGTTGTTAAATGGCTTAGTTGTTTGTATGTTGAGAGTGGAGTTGTGGTGCTCACTCTCTCTTGTTGCTTGTGTTGGGGTTAGCTTTTGTATCTTGCAGTTATCCCATATATATAATTTCAGTTGACAAAAAAAAGAAGGTTGATTTATTAATTTAGTATTTACTATGGGAAGTGGGTTTAGAGTCTTTAGAGCATCTCCAATGGGGAGTTGTCTCCATAAAGCTCTCTCAAATTTTTAATTATAAATTTGTTAAAAATTTGAGATGAGAACTTTTGTAATTTTTTTTAATTTTTCATACTCCAATGGTAAGTTCTCTAGTGAAGTTCTCTTAGAAAAAAAAACTTGGAGGACCATTCAAACAATAATATACTGATTTTAATGATTCAAAACAGAGATAAAGATATTCAAAGAAGTGAAACACATTATATTGGAGGACCATTCAAACCAAACTTGATGATAACAAGCAGAATGATCACAAAGTTCACTTTACAGAACAATCCAAAGCAAATGTATTCCCAGAATAGCCTATCTCCAAAATCACAGCCAAAACTCAATAAGAAACAACAAATAGATACAAAACCAAGCTATAATCATCATCCATAGCAAAATGACACACACATTGCTTTCAGAATTCACAATCCCAAAGTTCACTAACACACAATTCAAGTACAATCTACACTAACCAACAATAAAATTGAACATAAGAGTGAAGAAAGAAGCCTTACACGAGATATCAATCGCCGCAACATACGCATGCCGTGCTTGTGTCATCTCTTCCTCCGATCCATCCACTAAAAACAAAAAATCAAGCAGAAATCAGAACCAATTCCACTGAACATTATCTTTATATCTTTGATGATAATACAATAGACTTAAACATTTGGTATGATCACTATCCAATGTAACTTTCAAATCTATTTTTCCGAATGCTTTACCATAAAAACATTTGTTTCAGAATCAATTTCATGAACAAGAAGTAAAGAAAAAAGACAAGTATACGTAATGGTAATGATTACATTAAGATTTACACAATTTTACAATCAAGAACATCATTCTACGCATAAAATCCAAAAAACCATTACAAAGAATTAAACCACAAGCTAAATCAAGCTATCCGAGAATACTTTGTATTTGCTCAATAAAATCAAACAAAATCTGAAACTATTTACCAAAATCAAACAATATATTTCGATATTTTTGCTCAATAATGCCTAATAAGTAAAACAGAGCATCCAATTCGAATCAAATGACAAAACCAAACTATAATTTTTTTCCCCGAAACTATAAACCCTAAATCAAATAATCCATGACAAATTCGTCAGCAATCATGGAAAATTTACAAACACAAAGCCTCCAAATTGATTAATACCTGGAACAAGAAATTGGACCATTCTTCAACGAATCCTTCTTCACCATCGCCAATCGTCGATTTGTTTTAACTCCCTTCGCCGATGGTCTTTACCGTAAATCCAGCTGATGATTCCGGCGGCAGGTAAGTCTCACAAACCACGATTCCGGCGTCGAATCATCGGAAACTCACGGAAACGGCGTCGATTCGTCGGAAAATTAGATCGCAATCGCGAGAGAGACATAGCGTTTTTTTTGTTTTTGTCGAGAGAGAGAAAACAACAAAAAATAATGAGAGTTTTTTTTCCTGTTGGTAAAATGCTTCCTCCAAACATTTACCGACACGTGTCCGGCTCTCTCAAATTCCTCTTAAGAGAAACGATTCTCTTCTATTTACTCAGTTTTGATTTATTTTTGATCAAAATAAAGAAGAGAACTCATCTAAAAATTTGAGACAACCTGCCTTTGGAGATGCTCTTAGAGCAACATTATTGGTAGTCTCTTAATATTGGCTCTTAGCATTAGATGATAGAGACACTTAGCTAAGAAACACTTTTTAACCCACCAAATGTCTCTTAGCTAAGAGACATTCTTAACAATTTTAAGATATTTGCTTTATTTTTATCTATTTTAAGCTAAGATTTTTTTCTAAGATCTTCCTAAGAGACTACCATTAATGATGGTCTTAGACCCTAGTACTAGTAGTCTCCTTGTAACCGGTTATATCCGGTTCGGTTTGTTTAAATTTCGAATTAAGTTTTCTTTACTTTCGGTTTTTGTTTTATTATACCGAATCAGACCAAAACTGAATCGAAATTTGTGTTCTGTACTTTTCTCAAATCATAAACTTAAAACCCTTAATTTGTCCGACGGTGTTACGCGTTACGCGACGGCTACATTCGGCGGCGGAATCGTTTTGTCATACTCTCACGGTTAATTCATCCAATATCTTTCCGCCGTCTCAAAAATGTCGTCTTCGAAGCGGAAGCGCGACACCGAAACCACCGCGGAAGATTGTGACGACGGTAGTGATAAGAGCAATACCGGAAACAGTTTCTTCGATATATATGGACCCCAAGTAAAAAAACCTTCTTCTGAATTTCTTTTGTATGATTTGATTGATTGGTACTCAGTATTGTGATATGTGAATTGAATCTTCTTCTTTTTGATAGGCAAAAGCAGAACTCGATTTCAAAAGCCCTGATACAACATTGAACTTACAAGTAGGTTTTGTGATGAAATTTTGATAAACGATTCTATTTTTGGAAGTTTATGATGATAAATGTAGGATTTTGCATTTATGGGTTTGATTAGGATGTTCAAGGACTTGTGACATGGGTTCTTGCAGAAGGTTTTATGCCTTCGTGGGTGTTTATTAAGGTATGAACAAGATTGATTGTGTTGTGTCTTTACGGTTTCTTCGAAGTTTAAATGACATTTTAAGGATATGGTTTTTGTAGAACAAGCCTCTCATTCCAAAAGTTGTAATGCTCTACCTTCCTGGATTGGATGCAGCTTTGTACTTATCACAGTCTAAAACACTGTCTAGTTTGAAATCATGTTGCGGTAATCCTATCGCGCTTTTAGCTTTGAGGTTGGTGTAAGTTTTGGTGCTTCTCTTTACTTGGGGGTTTGTTGTGAATACAATTATTTGGGTGATTGTTTTGATTTTATTCTTATGTTAGCTGTGTAGTTGATGAGATGAGGACTATCGATACGATCCTTACTTGCAAGGGTAAAAGAAAGAAAACTGTTACTAGTTCAGTGGAACCACCTCCCCTAGTATCTAGCCCAGGTAGTAGACTTCACCCGATGATTTTTGATCATTGTTCATTACTTATTATGAGGTTTCAACGTTAACCAGATATAACAATTTTTCTCTCAATAGACGGCATTAACTATATGATATCTTTGGCTTGTAGAAGCATGCACTCTGATGGGGAAATCGTTCATTGAGCTCACAAAAGATATACCATTCCCTGTTACTTACTATACTCTAAGTCGAAAGGAAATGGAACAAAATGGATACACTTTTGAAAAACTCGGTACGAGTTCTACCCATTTAAAATTAACAGCTTAATCCTGTTTGAGCTGTTAACTTTTTGCTTTTGTGTAACATCATTAGCTTATTTCTTTTGGTTATGCAGAATTTACACCTACACTTCCTGCACCAATAGGATCCTGTCCCCACGAAATCGTAGCTCTTGATTGCGAGATGGTAAAACAACTATGTTTTCTATCCTTTCATGATTATATCATTTTATATATCTTGTTTTGTCAAATAATCATCCAAATATTATATAGAGGTTTGCTTCTTTCCTTTTTGTTTCACCCTTAGTGTATTACAAAGGAAGGTTTGGAGTTGACGAGAGTGACACTGGTGGATATCCAAGGACAGGTATCTTCTTTCTTACTTCTTTAAGTATGTTAGATTTCGTCATTTATGTTACCAAGTTTCCATGGTCGTGCAGGTTCTATTAGATAAATTAGTCAAGCCAACTAATCCAATTACTGATTACAACACAAGGTAAGCCATGCTAATATTTGTGACTCTGTATATATTACACACGAATTTTAGAATAATATGTGTTTCTAGTACCTCTTAAAAGGTATATGCCTAAAAAACACAGCATTGGTTTGCAGGTATAGTGGAATAACAGCTGTGATGATGGAGGGAGTTACAACAACTCTTAAAGATATTCAGGTTTCACGAGATCCTTTTTTAACTTTTATTAGATATGGGTTAGGACAATGAAATTGAAGACTCGTAATGATCTAGTATAATTAGAGCCGTTTTGCTATGTTCAGGAAGAGTTCTTAAAGCTGGTTTTCAAAGAGACCATATTAGTCGGACACTCCTTGGAAAATGACTTGTTATCTTTGAAGATCTCTCATAATCTGGTGATTGACACTGCAGTACTATACAAGCATCCACATGGTAGATCTTATAAAACTAAACTTCAAATTCTAGCAAAAAAGTTTCTTGCTAGAGAGATACAGCTGTCTGAATCCGGACATGACAGCGTGGAGGATGCAAAAGCAGCCATGGATTTGGCACTATTGAAGATTAAACATGGCAAGAACTTCATATTCTTAACCTCACTATTTATGTCTTGTTTCTACTTCTCTGTATCCTATTAAGTGATTTTCTTTTCTGGCTTCCTCTAGGACCTGATTTTGGTTCACCACCGGAAATGATAAGAAAAAAGCTCCTCGCCATATTGAATGAGAGCGGGAAAACGACTTCTATAATCGACAATGTCAACATCGTGAAGCGATATGCTTCTGAGTCATCAAATTCAATTCCAGTTTTTTCTGACGACGAAGCACTTTCAAAGGCCGTGAAGGAGGTAAAAACTTCTGAATCCATTTATGCCTCTGTATTTCTCGCAGCTACATAAACTGATAAAAGTATAATTGTATGTGTGTTTTATATGCTTCTAGGTAAAGAACAAGCGGTCACAATTCGTTTGGACACAGTTCTCAGAATTGAATGCACATTTCCAGAGCAGAGCGGATGATCCACAGAAACTAAATTCCAGACTAGCTGAGATGATCTCATTGCTTACATGTAACAAAAACTCCGGCCTTAAGAAAAGCAATGTTTCACTTGAAACAAAGGAAGTCTTAAAGAAAATGAACGATAGAGTCCAATCCCTTTACGCTGCATTACCCACAAATGCGATGTTTATAGTTTGCACCGGACACGGAGACACTTCCATTGTACACAGGTTTGTACTTTGTAGCACTCAATCCAAATCGTAAGTGTTTTAGACAAACAAATCTGATTCAATTTCTTACCTGTATGTTTCTTGCGATATGAAGAGTGCGGAAAATGCTTAAAGATGAGAATGAAATCGGATTTGACCGTGAGAAACTTGTGAAGGTTCTTGAAGAGCTTCAAGCACAAGCCGAAGTAGCTCTCTGTTTTGTAGGTATCAAGCAATAAACTTAAACAGACACCAAATTTTTCCCTTGTATACCTTATGAGCAACAAGACACTCACAATTCAGTATTGTATTTCTTGATATTATTGATTTGTAGCATTTCAAGTTTGGTTACAGTAAAAAAAAAATCAGAAAATGGCTAATTCCAGCATGAATTTACAGTAAATGAATCCAAAACAAAATTCCTATAAAATAAAATTCGTAAAAATAAACATGGAAAAATTCTGAACCGGTCGGTTATCTTAAACCAACAAAAAAACAGAATACCGCCGCACGTGTAAAACACTCGGAGTCTTCTTTAGCGCCAAATTCCGCCGTATCCTCAAAAAACCTAGACGGATCTTCATTAAACAATCTAAACCGTTGATTAATCCATTTTCATATCAGCCGTTAGATTTCGTCAATCAAACTCATCAAAATTCAATTTTTTGATTTTTCAAAAAGATCTCAAAGATACGACGAAGAAGAAGAAGAAGAAGAAGAGAGAGCTATTCAAAAAATCTCTGCTCCGTCTGCAAATTTTTTGCTATGGAAGATTTGAATTCTAATCAGAATCTTCTGCAGCGTCAATCAGATTTCTCCATCCCTGCGGCGAAGATGGATTCGTTTCAGAAATCGCTAGAACCGCCGCCGAGTTCTCCGGCGAAATCTTCTCAAGAATCAGCGACGGAAGTCACACCGCCGCAGAAACCACCGCTTCACCGATTTGGTCAAAACCAAGTTCAAAAGAATCAATCAGAGAAGTGTCGAGTGAGGTAAATTGGTTACTTTCTCATTTAATCAAATTTGTTTCGATCTTGAGGAATTAGCGATTTGATTGTTTGATATGTAGCAATCAAGATCCATTGGACTCAGGAAGAAATATTGAAGTTGAATCGAAAGAGAATACTCCAAATAAACAACAGAGACATTGCAATTGCAAAAACTCAAAGTGTTTGAAACTGTGAGTATCTCTCTCTTTGTTAATAGAGTTTTTTTTGTAGATGTTTTGTTTATACACAGTCTTGTGATCTTTATAGGTATTGTGAATGCTTTGCGTCTGGATCTTATTGTAATGGTTGCAACTGTTTGAATTGTCACAACAAATTGGAGAATGAGTCTTCGAGGCAAGTAGCTATCACGGCTCTCTTAGAGCGTAATCCGGATGCGTTTAAGCCTAAGATTGCTGGTAGTCCTCATGGAATGAAAGATTTGCAGGTGTGTTATATCTTGTTCACTTCAAAAATGTAACTTTATGTATTTGCTGTTAGTTTTGTAACTTATATGCGGTGTTGGGAATGTTTCGAAACCGACTTGTAGGAGAATGTGCGGCAAATTCTGCTTGTTGGAAAGCATAGCAAAGGATGTCACTGCAAGAAATCAGGATGCCTCAAGAAGTACTGCGAGTGTTACCAGGCAAATATTCTATGTTCGGATAATTGTAAATGTCAAGATTGCAAGAACTTTGATGGAAGTGAAGAAAGAAATTCTCTTCTTCATAGATCTCACGTCTCTGAAACTTACATACAACAGTTGACCAATGCTGCTGTTAACCGCGCCATCGACATGTCTGCTTATCTGAACCCTCCTGAATCAAGAAAGAGAAAGAGCAGTGACACTTCACATTCTGTTGAAGCTAGAGGTTCATCTGCAGTTTCATCACACGTTGTCCAAAATCAGAGGGTAAATAGTAGAATCCTGTGTTTTTTTTTTTTTTATGGTCTCTAGCTTCAGTTTTTGCATTGAAAGCATAATTCTTTGTGTTTTTCTTGTTCCAACTAGGTAAACAGTGTGACAAGAAATGGAGACACTTCTCTATTTTCACTCCCTAACAAAAAGGCGGTATCTGGATCTAGAACAAGTGCTTACAGGTTAGAAATATCAAACCCTTCCTTTCTTTGATATTGCCCATTCGAAACTACCATGATAACTGACTGTTTACTTCTATAGGTCTTCTCTGTCAAATGTTATCCAACCACATCATGTCAGAGAGCTATGTTCGCTTTTGGTCTCAAAATCGGTGAATGTAGCAAAGAAATTGTCAGGTACATATCATGCAGTAGAACAATAAGATCTTTTTACATATCATCACAATGTAGCATAGAAATTGTGATGTACAGGAGGATATGTTCCTCATATAATAAGATCTTTGTTAAGAGAATGTCTGATATGGTGAAACAGACAAAGGGAGGAAGAACGACAAAGACCCTTCACTTGATCGAGGCCGAATAGATGCTAATGAGATCAATGACTCTCCAGATTGTGTCCTTGATGCTAATAGAATGGACGAGAAGCCTTTATCTCCAGCAACACTTGCATTGATGTGTGACGAAGAGCATGAGATCGGGTCAGAGAAAGAGACATCGGCCCGAGTGAAAACAAGGAAAGAAAAAGAAGGCACAGACACAAGCTCGGTTATTTACTTAGAACAAGAAAGACAGATCTTGTCAAGCTTCAGGGACTATCTCATTCAGCTCTCAAACCGTGCGAGCTTAAATGGTAAGCTTGCTTTTAGCTTCAGATCTTATCCTTGTAGTGGATTTGCTAATTTAAGAGATTATTTTAAGCAGGAACAAATATCAAAAACAACACAAATCCAAGCTGAAAGAAACCAGAAGATGAAGAACAAAGCCATCAAGACTCAAGTTTTCGGGGCATTACTTAGGGAACTTTTCTGACAACAACTTTAGGATCTAACTCATTTTATCGTACGATCCAGGCCATGTCACATTTTTTTTTAAAGGGAAAAAAAGTTATAGGAAGATTAGACATAATTTAAAAATGGTTTGAAGTTTTATTTCTTTTTCCAGCTAATTTCATTAATACCGAATCAAGATAACAAAGTTAATATAAAAAACTTTCCGAAAACAAATTATTACATAAGCAGAGATATATGCGCCGTAAAAAGAGAAAGATACACAAAATGAAGTGAATTTGATAATGCTTTTCGTAGACAAGCCTTACTCGCTAATGGATTATTAAACTAATATTTTTCGTCATATTCGATCTTGTTCTTGTGCGAATTGTGTGAGTAGGTAGTATTTTTTTTGCTGAACCTACAATTTGCACACAGCATGAAAAAAACCGATGGTTTGAAGTTTATGAGTAAAAATTGTCACCCTATCTTGCAAGTTAAAAAAACGTCTATCCCCAAACCAGATTCGAAGATAATGGGCTTTGCGTATCTTTTTAATTAATAATGGGCTTTAAAATAATATAGGTCCAACCAATTACATGACCCGACCCGTCCGTAAAAAATATTCCGTCTTCTTCATCATCGGCTTAACACTGCAAAAAAAAAAAAAAAAAAAACTAAAAACCCTAGGCACACTCTTCTCTCTATCCTCAAAGCGAGTACTCTCTCTCTCGATATCCATAGAGAGAAGCTTCGATCTAAGTTTCGAAATCATGGCGGCGGTCGTGGATATTGATGCCCTATCGGCTCAATCAGGGGTTAATTGGTCTGAGGTTAATCTCGATTCAATCCAACTTCCTCCTGGAAACAACTTTGGGATCGAGAGGTGAGGTTTTCCATTAGATCTCTCTGGTTCTTAGCTTTTGTAGAATCTTCGTTTCAAATCTGAGAAATCTTATATCTAGTAACGTATGAACAATGAAACTGATTTGGTTATACACTTTTTTGTTTGTTTATGTGGTGATTGGTAGTGATGATGAAGCTGTTTACCATGATGATCAGTCAGAATTCGACACTGGATTTGGTAACATTATCGTGGTTGATCACCTTCCTGTTGTTCCCAAGGAGAAGTTTGAGAAACTAGAAGGTGTTCTCAAGAAAATTTATAACCAGTTAGGTGTTATTAAGGAAAATGGACTGTGGATGCCCGTTGATCCCGATACGAAGATGACATTGGGCTACTGTTTTATCGAGTTCAATACTCCTCAGGTTGTTATCTACTTGCAGCTCTGTGTTTAGTTAGTTTGCTTAAGCAATAATGTAGGAGACAGAACTAGATTGTTTGACAATGGTGGTGTATATTCTAAGAGTTTGTTTCAAATGTCTGTGGCTATTTGCAGGAAGCACAAAATGCTAAGGAAAAGTCGCATGGCTACAAGTTGGACAAGACTCACATCTTTGCTGTTAACATGTTTGATGATTTCGATAGGTTGATGAATGTGAGGGAGGAGTGGGAGCCTCCTCAGGCCAGGCCCTATGTCCCTGGGGTACGTGTACTTTGAAATATTGTCTTTTGGATAACTTCCACTGAGTCTGTGCAATTACTTCTATTTTGGTTATTCTCTGATTGATTCAGTGAATTCATGTGTTTGCTAGCTGAATTAGTGTTAGGATCTGTTTACGCATTTGATGTATACTAACCAAGAATTATAATTGTGTAACTTTTGTTGCATGTTTTTTTATTCAATGTTACCTTTTGAGGTGCTTGTTGTTGGTAGTTATATGGTGTTTGTTTTTCAGGAAAATTTGCAAAAGTGGCTTACTGATGAAAAAGCCCGGGACCAGCTAGTCATTCGTTCAGGCCCTGATACTGAAGTTTACTGGAATGATGCTAGGCAGAAGAAGCCTGAACCTGTTCATAAGCGTCCTGTAAGTTTCTTACATCTTCCTGTGTATATCTCTTATTTGTTACTTGACTGTTTAGAGCAATGTTATATGTTATGTTACCATTATCTGAATTAATGATGTTCTCTTCCTATGCAGTATTGGACAGAGAGTTATGTGCAGTGGTCTCCTTTAGGTACATACCTTGTGACACTTCACAAGCAGGGGGCAGCTGTTTGGGGTGGTGCTGATACATTCACGCGTCTCATGCGTTATCAGCATTCTATGGTTTGAATTTCCTTTTAATTGCTACATAGTACTTCCGTTTTTCCTCTGTTGGCCTGAAAATTGACACCTTCTGTTGATTCTGTTTTAGGTCAAACTAGTTGATTTCTCGCCAGGTGAGAGATATCTTGTAACTTACCATAGCCAAGAACCAAGCAATCCGAGAGATGCAAGTGTGAGTTCATTTTTGACTCTGTTCTTTCCAACTTTTATTTGTATATCATTTCTATGCAAAGAATTCTGATTCTGTCAAAATTACAGAAAGTAGAGATTAAGGTCTTTGATGTGAGAACTGGGAGGATGATGAGAGATTTCAAGGGTAGTGCTGATGAGTTTTCAATTGGAGGACCTGGTGGTGTTGCTGGTGCCTCTTGGCCTGTTTTCAGGTAATTTCTTCAACTGCATTCAATGTCCTAAAAATAAACAGTCAAAATCTATCCTCTGGTCCACTATTATGCACATTTGTTTATATCTTGTAAAACTTTTCTGTAGATGGGCTGGTGGAAAAGATGATAAATACTTTGCCAAGCTTAGCAAAAACACCATCTCTGTCTATGAGACTGAGACTTTCAGCCTAATAGACAAGAAATCCATGAAGGTTGATAATGTTGTGGATATTTGCTGGTCTCCTACTGATTCCATCCTTTCATTGTTTGTTCCTGAACAAGGTGGTGGAAACCAACCTGCCAAGGTATATTTCTATTAATTCTTTTGTAAATGAAAAGCCCTGAATCCTCAATTTGCTTCTGTTTCTCTGTGAGTTGTTTTGTAATTACATGTTGATATCCCTTTCTCCAGGTTGCTCTAGTCCAAATCCCGAGCAAGGTGGAGCTTAGGCAGAAGAATCTCTTCAGTGTGAGCGACTGCAAGATGTACTGGCAAAGTAGTGGAGAGTATCTTGCTGTCAAGGTTGATCGATACACAAAAACTAAGAAGAGCACATACTCTGGATTTGAGCTTTTCCGTATCAAAGAAAGGGATATTCCCATCGAGGTTCTTGAGCTGGATAACAAGAACGACAAGATCATTGCTTTTGCTTGGGAGCCCAAGGGTCACAGGTTTGCTGTGATTCATGGTGACCAACCAAGGCCAGATGTCAGTTTCTACTCGATGAAGACCGCACAAAATACTGGAAGGGTTTCAAAGCTCGCAACTTTGAAGGCCAAACAAGCCAATGCTCTCTTCTGGTCGCCCACAGGAAAGTACATCATTCTTGCTGGGTTAAAAGGTTTTAATGGCCAGCTTGAATTTTTCAACGTGGATGAGCTCGAGACAATGGCCACAGCTGAACACTTCATGGCCACGGATATCGAATGGGACCCAACTGGAAGGTACTAGTGTCTTAAAACTAAACAAGTCCATTGGTTGTTTCTCTTTCTTCCAATTTGTGATGTTGTTTGCACTTTTTTATTTTCAAAGGTACGTTGCAACCGCAGTGACATCAGTCCACGAGATGGAGAATGGGTTCACCATATGGTCTTTCAACGGGAATTTGGTTTACCGGATACTGAAGGATCATTTCTTCCAGGTATGTAACAAAAAACTCGGTCTCAAACTACCATCATCCGTTACAATGTCTAATAAAATATTTGTGTATGGTTGGTTACACAGTTGGCTTGGCGTCCAAGACCGCCATCATTCTTAACTGCAGAGAAGGAAGAAGAGATAGCAAAGAACCTGAAGAAGTACAGCAAGAAGTATGAGGCAGAGGATCAGGACGTATCGTTGCTGTTGAGTGAACAAGACAGAGAGAAGAGGAGGGCATTGAAGGAAGAATGGGAGAAATGGGTGATGCAGTGGAAGTCTCTGCATGAAGAGGAGAAACTCGCGAGGCAAAATCTTCGGGATGGTGAAGTTAGTGATGTGGAAGAAGATGAGTATGAAGCCAAAGAAGTTGAGTTTGAGGATCTTATTGATGTGACTGAGGAAATCGTTCAAGAGTCGATGTAAGTTTCTCGGTCTCTTTTGTTACCCTCCCTTAGTGTTCTTCGGATCTCTTAGACTTCGCATTCTCTAAACTTGGAAGAGAAATTTTGTTTCCTTGGATATTGTTATATCATTATTAAGTTTTCGTAATTACACTTGAAGGGTTATAACATTCTTATAGAAGAAAAATCTTGCGATCAAAACTCATTCCACACACAATTATACCAAACTGAAGAAATCCAAAAAAAAAAAAAAAGAGTTTATGAAATTTGGCTTTTGGATAACTTTAGGTTCATATTCATGTTCTTCCATGTGTATAACTCATACACTCTTGTCTAAGAGACCAGCACGTCGTTGGAAACCAGTAGCTTCAAACGGCAGGATGTGTGTAAGTGATAATAATCCCACATCGCTAGACTAAAAACAATGACTGGGAAATACAGGAGTATAAATAGAGAAGTTGCTGGATTGAGCAAATTACTTACCTGGACGGGGTCAACTCGCGATCAATAAGACGAGTGGCCTAGGCTAGTGACCGCATTGCACATATCGTTGGGGTGCTATGCTTAAGGTCTTCCCTTGAGGAAGAGCCTACGTCATTATTTGTGGCAGAGGGGGTTTGCGTTCGCGCAGCCCCTACCATCATTAGTCTTAATCTTGATATATTCCAATAATTATCTCGTATGTCATAATTGAAAATTTTGAGAACTTTTTGATTATTTGTTTTAGGTACAGAGTCCCACATCGGAAGTAAGTATCAAGTTGATGGATATTGTATGACTATAAAACAAAGAGGCTTTGGTTTATATAAAAGTATCTTTGCGCTTGGGGCAATGACGCAGCTAATGAGGTCTTAACCGAGGCGCGTCTATTGCTGGTTGAAAACTATTTCCAAACCCCCTCCTAGGCCTAAGCTTGTCTTGGGCCTTCGAGAATTTCTGGAAGAGCTCCTTCCGGGGTAAAGCTCTACAATTCTTAGTTCAATATTTTTTCTTCTAAGGTTAGTTCAATAATTCGTTAATGTATATTTTCCCTTTCATTATTATTGAATCAAAGAACATCGGCTATGATGATATAAACTATAAATGGGTAATGTTTTGAACACAACCAAACTCAGCGCCTGTGTAGTGTATAAAGAATTAACCTCAAGTACAAGAGGAATACCAGCAAGAATTGCAAAGGGCTAAGCATATAAAAACTACTTGGTTTGATGACTTCAAATCAATGCATCCCAGGAAAGGCCTAAGGGGCTCATGGATCACCACGGATCCATCTTCCTGCTGGTAATTCTCCAGCAAACACACGACCACACACGTCGTTGCGATTAGAGTGTCGACGAAATTAGAAGCTGGAAGATTCGCTTTGCCTTACCAATCTCCGACTTTGGTAATCCATGCAGTTTGATGCTCTTGATATCTAGGTTAGAAGTTAAAACAGCAAGCTCAAAGAATAAACTAAGGTTTGGTTCTATTGGGCTGTGTCTTTCTTTATCTTTTTTTTTTTTGGCTCGGGGGCTTTGTATATAAAGTTTGTGTACACGTCCGAGTCAATGATAAAACTTTTCATTTTTTCATCATCTTATTAAAGGCTGAAAGAGACTTTTCATTTTGCTATCATTTAAGTATAAAAAAGGACATATTATAGAACCTTGTCTTTTTTTTCTTGGTTTCTGAAACATAATTTCACAAGGGAGATCTGATGTTTCCTGCTGCGATAGATCCTTGTCTCACCACCATCTCCGTTCGATAGATCCAACCAGAACCGCATCGGTATTTGCATCTTAGCGTGTTTGGTCCAATCGATAACCAAGTTGAATGGTATCATCATCTATGGTGTTGACTCATTGGTTGTTCTTTCCTGTGCAGATTTTCCATTCACAAGCACTGATGATGGCTTGGAGGAGAGCTTCCAAAGCACTGATTTTGTTTCTCGCTGTCCAGATTTCACATATAACTCAAGGAGACAATGGTCCCTCTCCTTTACCAGTTCGTGCAAGGCAAGTGATTTGTATAACTTTTGATTTAATGATTTTCAAATTAAAAAAAAAAAATTGTGACGACAAAAATAAATTTTTTTTTTTATTATTGAAGAAAACAAAAAGGTATTTAAAGTTAACTAAAACACGTCATTAAGAATCAGGTGGCTAGGCTAATTGTGAAAATTTGCATGCCGTTGACATAATTTTCTTTAACAAAAAAAAAACAGAACACCGAATCTTTTTCTCCCACCGATCACCACCGGAGCTATGGAATCGCCGATTACTCAAGCCCATGTGTTTAGATCGGAGTTTCTTCATCTTCTTCATAGTCGACGATCACCCAAAGGTTATAATCAAAATTCTCGCACTTGTTATTAACTATTATTTCATTTAATTTCCCAATCTCTTAATCACAGATTTAATTGATTTATCATTTTTTTCCTTAAAACTGTTTGATTAATCTCTAAAAATCTTAATCTCCAGTTCCATTAATAGCCGATTCTTCAAATCCTGTCGAAAACCCTCTCTTTCAAGCTGATGTTCCTTCTACAAAAGTGAGATCACAATCCTTTTTTCTCTACAAAATTTTATTTCATTTTTTAAGTTAACAATTCATTACCAAACACAGGCAATAGAGTCTTGTCCAAAAGAAAACATTGGTAACTTAAAAGAAATGCTTAAAGAAGAAAACCTTCATTTGCACACTGAGGTAACATTTTTAAAAAAAGTTTTATATATATTCAAGAAATTTTCTGATATTTTTTGTATGTGTTAAATTGTTTTCTATGTAAATGGTTAAAGGATTCAGAGCAAGGGAAATTACCTTTACTTATTTTAAGCTTGAAAGAGAGGACTAAAGAAAGAAGGCCAGCGATTGTGTTTATGCATGGCACAAACACAAACAAAGAATGGTTAAGACCATGGCTTGAAGTAAAACTAACATCAATAACTTTTGATTTCTCTTTTAAGCAACATTACTTTGTTGATTAATACTTTTTTTTTACTTAGGCATATGCTTCGCGGGGATATGTAGCCATCGGTTTAGACTCTCGGTACCACGGTGAACGTGCTGATTGCAAAACTGCTTATCGAGATGTAATATCGTTGTTATGAATCATCGTTTATCTAATGATTCTTCTAGTGTTTTGAGTTCTGATATGGGTTTTTGGTGTAAATTTTGATGTAGGCTCTTATATCATCTTGGAGAAATGGAAACACAATGCCTTTTATCTTTGATACTGTAAAAACATTTGTCTCTTTTTTAGCTTTTATTTTCTGGTTTCGCCTTAGAGTGTAACACATCTTATCGTTTTTTTTTTCTTTCTTAGGTATGGGATTTGATCAAACTAGCTGAATATCTTACTCAGAGGGATGATATAGACCCGAAAAGGATAGGAATCACCGGAATTTCGCTAGGAGGTCAGTCATACAACAAATTGAGTAGCATGATTTGTAGTTATAGTTATACATTCTAATTTTGTTCATTGTGAAAGAAACATACAGGGATGCATGCTTGGTTTGCTGCTGCAGCTGATACCCGCTATTCCGTGGCTGTCCCTTTAATCGGTGTTCAGGTGCAAAATCATCGTTACTTTCTTTTGCTCTTTCTTAGCCAAATACCGATAAACAGCGTAGCAACAATGAGGCATGTTGTATGAGGATGTTTCCTAATTCAATGTCTTGTATGTTGGGCAGGGATTTAGATGGGCAATAGACAATGATGAGTGGGAAGCAAGAGTCAACAGTATAAAACCTTTATTTGAAGGTCAGATTTTGAAAAACACAATGTGATTCAATATAATATGTACGAGGATTATAATTCCTTTGCTTTTGTTTTCTTCTACGGTTTCAGAAGCAAGGATCGATCTCGGAAAGAATGTAATCGACAAAGAACTAGTCGAGAAGGTAAAGAAGCTTGAAAGTGACTACGAATTCAGATTGCAACTCAATTATAATTGGTAAGTATTTATTGACATAACAGGTGTGGAACAGAATAGCTCCTGGCCTAGCTTCTAAGTTCGATTCGCCTTACTCATTACCAGTGATTGCTCCGCGGCCTCTTTACATCCTTAATGGTGAGCACAATCGATATATATATATATGCTCATTATCTATCGACACACTTACAAGTTTTGCCGCGTTACATATGCAGGCGCAAATGATCCTCGATGTCCTCTTGGCGGACTAGAAGTTCCGTTAAAGAGAGCTGAGAAGGCGTATAAGGAAACTGCTTCTCCTGAAAACTTCAAGGTAAACCACTGATCTAGTCTATAATTCTATTGCAACCAGAGAGAGAATTTTAAAAAAGCTTTTGATGTTTCGAGAGAGCAGTTCAAAGCAGAAGATGGAGTTGGGCACGAAGTGACGAGTTTCATGATCAAAGAATCATCAGACTGGTTTGACAAATTCCTTAAACAAGAAGATATGACTTGCGATTAAACTGATTGTAATATTGGTAAAATTGTGAACTAATAAGAAGAATCCTCTCCTTGTAAACCTTACACATCTGAAACTTAATAATGTATTCACTCTCGCAAATCATTAACATTACAAATTCAAAGAAAAAAGCAAGAGGATCATCATCCTTTCTTTGGCATTGCGGCGAGGCGTGTGTACATGCGTGCCATTGAATTGAACCCTCTCACATCCCCAGATCTTAGAAGATTCCCTTTCATAGCAACAACCCCAACAACAAAAATGTCAAAACACACAGATTTCAGTAAAAAGCAGTTGCATACTATGAAACACTAAACTAGCTTTGTACCTGAGTCGCAGTTAAGCGGACTGTCCGGCTCAGGATGAGCCATCAACGCTATGATAGCTCTACACACGGACTGAAGCGTCCAAGCGGGACTCCACGCATTCTTCAATATGTCGAGGCAAATTTCTCCTGTCTACAAATTCCAAGTAATAAAAAACAGTGCCCTTTTTTTTTTACCGGAGAGATTATAAAAACCGCAATCATCGTTTCATTACCTTGAAATGCACATTTGGATGAAATATTTTGGTTAAGAATCGCACTTGAGGAGGTTGCAAAGGATATGGTTCAGGAACAGCAAAAGCAAGCTGAAAAACACCGCCTTCATAAGGAGTCTCCGACGGTCCCTGCAATAATACAACAACAACGACAATGTTTCAAAAACAGAAACCACAAACTTTCCCTGCAAAATGAAGGAAGCTTTTCGGTTTTCTTATCAATAATTTCTGCGAAAAAAAACCTTGATAAGAGCGGTCCATTTGAATATGTTGGTATCGTCACACACCAATTGAATATCTGGATCAGCTACTTTCTCTCGCTGAACCTCTTTGTATTCTTTAAACAGTCTCGCTCTTGATGCCTATACATGAATCAATCAATCAATCACACACACATACTTAGTCAAAGTTTTGCAAAAAAAAAAACATAAAAATTGGCAATTTTTTACCTGCATCTCTCTAGTTGTCCAAAAAGAACAAGATCGAATTGGTCAACTGCAAATCAAAGGATCTAAAAAATCAAGAACTAAAAAAAAAAAAAAAACTATTTCTGCTTGGATATTTGCAGAGAGAAACCAATCATATCAAATGATTAAAGAATAACGTGCACACAATGCTCAAAGCCAGCTCATATCTATACTAACGTTCATGATACTAATCTCATATCTATACTAACGTTAAAGAGTAACGTTCATGATACTAATCACTATACTATTCTAAACTAAAGATGAACTAAGGCAATATTGCTCTAGAATTTTTAAACAATAAGCATTCATATAAGTAATTCACAGCATTCATAGCCTAAATGGAGATCAAAGTCAACACAAGAAAACAAAAAACATACAGTTGGTGATGTAACTGAGGACAATGAGAAGAATCTGTCTTCAGGCTGAAACTTTCTTGACCTCTTAGCACTGCAAAATGGGTTCATATCAAAATCAATCAATCGCTAAACCTAACCTAAGATTTTTTTAAAAAATTATCATGAAAGCAATAACAAAGCTTCTCAAACCAGTACACAACAAGATGAAGCTAACAAAACAAGAAAGAAAACAAATAGAGTTCACTCATAAAAAGACTAACAATGCCAATAAGAAGAATAACACAGAAGAAAAAGAAAGAAACACATAACAAAGAGCCAAAGTGACTAGCTTAAATCAAAGATTCAGAAAACTAAAAGAAGAATGCAAAAGCAGAAGAGCTAACCTACACCTAATGACCTATTACAAGCGTATTTACACAAGGAGAGACAATGGGAGGAAGGGCAAAAAACGTCTATCATAATCAGAGCATCACTAAAGGAGACATGGAAAACATCTGGCTGAATCTTCACAGAGAGAGTTCATAATGTCATCATCAGAAAGCAACGAGAATTTTTACAATTCCAGGATCCATATAGCTCACTTAAGTTAGCCATCGAATAAGAACTCACAAACCCAGAAAACCCAAAACCAAGCTCAAAGAACAACGATTGATGCAGAACATGAAGAACCAAGTTCAAAATGTAAGAAATTAAAACCTTGTAAAGAAGAAGGCTTTGTTCCGAGGTTAAACTCTGAATCTCATTCTTCTGCAATTGAACAAAGAATCAGCCATAAGCCAAAACTCAAAAACCCACAATAGAGATTAAAGAGAAAAACCCAGAAAGCAAAACCTTAGAAATCAATTTTGATGTTGCACAAGGGAAAATTAGAGAAATTACTTCGACTTTGGCTGGAGGAGTAGAGGTTTCCGATGGTGGATCTTCGACTTGGGGTGATGATTCCGGCAAAGAAAGAGGAAGTTCCGGTGGAGTTCGAATCGGAGAAAGTTTATTTTGCCTCCGACGACGAATCACTTTGGTTTTGGTTTGAAAGATCTCGATTTGTGATGGGAGTAAACAAAACTAGGGTTACGAATTTAGTAATTATTCACTAAACATAAGGGCATTTTTGTCATTTTACGCTTTTAGTCCACTCGCATCGCCAATTTACCCTGTTGATTAATACTTGTTGTTTACTTAGGCATATGTAGCCATCGGTTTAGACTCTCGGTACCAGTACCACGGTGAACGTGCTGATTGCACAACTGCCTATCGAGATGTAATATCGTTGTTACGAATCCAGTGTCGAATTCTGACTGATCATCATGGTATACAGCTTCATCATCACTACCAATCACCACATAAACAAAAAAAACAGTGTGTAACCAAATCAGTTTCAGTGTTAAGCGCCGATGATGAAGAAGACGGAATATTTGTTCATTGTGAAAGAAACATACATGGATGCATGCTTGGTTTGCTGCTGCAGCTGATACCCGCTATTCCGTGGCTGTCCCTTTAATCGGTGTTCAGGTGCAAAATCATCATTAGTTTCTTTTGCTTTCTCTTAACCAAATACCGATAAACAACATAAGCAACTACAAGGATATTCTTGTTTGTATGAGGGTGGCAGTGGCGGAGGCAGTGTTGTACCATGGGGGTCAATTGACACCCATGGATTTTAAAATTTTAGTTTAATTTAATTAATCATTTATAAATTGACCCCATTACAAAATAAAATTTGACCCCCATCAAATTTTAATTTAGGAAAAAACCACTAAATATTATATATCAAAAAGAATTATTATAATTAAACTCATTACAAAAATAGATAAAAATAAATAAATAAAATAAAAACATATTCATTAAAATGAGTTCAACCTAATTATCACTATTCTTTCGCTACTTTATAATTTTTTTTCTTTTTTCTCTATTTCAATTAACATTATCCATTGAAAATCATATTGGAAATAAAATTTTAAGTTAAAATTTATATACTTTTTAGTTTGACATGAAACGTTTTGATGATTTTGCTCGTATATTAAAAAGACAAATATGTCTCATTTTTTATCGAATTTTAAAACTAATTGTGATGTTTAATTTGCTATTGCAACAGTTGATTAGATTTTTTTTTTCTATGAATATTTTGAAAACGACTTCACGTAATCATATCGTTGATACAATTTCAAATAATTTTCTAGTTTTTGAATGAAAAATACGTAATACTATGACAAACAAAAAAATAATAAAATATTTACAAGATATAATTCTTTAAAAGATTTCTAAAAATTATATTTTGATTATCTATTTTTTAAAATAAAATTATATATTTTCTTTATTGAAAAAAATTGACCCCTATAAACAATTTTTCTGGCTCCGCCACTGGAGGGTGGTTTCCTAATTCGAAAACTTTTCAATGTTTTTGAATGTTGGGCGGGGATTTAGATGGGCAATAGACAATGATGAGTGGGAAGCAAGAGTCAACAGTATAAAACCTTTATTTGAAGGTCAGATTTTGAAAAACACACAACGTGATTCAATATAATATGTACGAGGATTATAATTCCTTTGCTTTTGTGTTTTCTTCTACGGTTTCAGAAGCAAGGATCGATCTCGGAAAGAATGTAATCGACAAAGAATTAGTCGAGAAGGTAAAGAAGCTTGAAAGTGACTACGAATTCGGATTGCAACTCAATTATAAGTATTTATTGACATAACAAGTGTGGAACAGCTTCTAAGTTTTTCTCCTTATTTTTAGAAGGGTAAAACCAAAATTTATATATATACACTAAATACAAGCATTCCAATCAAAGGAAAGAGAACGGAATTTTTTTAGAAAAAACAAAATAGCAAACATGGTTAAGAATATAATTATCGTTGTTTTTTTTTTTATTTTATGGACGATTTCAACAGCTAATGCAAATCTGTGTCACAAGAAAGACCCAATCAAGACTGCACCACATTCTTGTAATAAACCTAATGGTGCCCAAATATGTGAGACTGCTTGCCAAAAAGAATCATATCTTACTGGACAATGTATTCCGAGCAAACAAAAAAAGCATGCCGGCTACGTGCATATGTCATATGCATTGTTGGAATTTAAAACGTGTTGGCTAAATGTATGTGTCATATGTTTTATCCGAATTAATCGGGTTTAAAAACATTGGTCATATAACATGTCCTCGATAAAAACAATGTATAAGACCAATGTTTACTTTTATTTTATACAGCCATCTTATTTCGCTTATGTATTTATTTTAAACATCATTAATTATGTAGTATTACGAATGAAATCATATATTTAAATCAAAATGAACATTCACAACAAATAATACAAACTATTAATTGTTGATATGTGATGCTTAGTGTGATTTTTTGGATAAAATACCAAAGATTAAATACTGTATATAAATTTTATTACTGTTAGAAGTTTTCAGGAATACAATGTTTATTTATATTTTATTTTGGGAAAACCTCCAAACCAAATCAAACCGGAAGAATGAATACGGTGGTCTAGTGGTAAAGAAACCCTAGGCTTTTTTTTTAGTGTCTCTGGTCTTCTTCTTCATCTAGTTGTTCTGAAACGCCGCAACACTAAGAATTGATCGGCGAGCGCTACGATGGCGAGCAATTACGAGTACGAGGAAGGTCCGGCGGCGAGCTACGAGAGGGAGAGCGGCGGGGAGAGCGGGTACGACCCAAATATAGTGGCGGATTCGGTGAAATCGTTCGTGGTACACATGTACAGACACATAAGGGAGAAGAACGTGTACGAGATCCACCAGATGTGTGAGACATCGTTCCAGAGCATATCGGAACGTCTGTTCAAGGAGACGCCATGGCCAAGTGTGGAAGCCATAGCTCCATACGTAGACAACGACCATGTGTTCTGTCTTCTGTACCGTGAGATGTGGTTTCGACATTTGTATGCGAGGTTATCTCCTACGTTGAAGCAGAGGATTGATTCTTATGACAACTATTGCAGCCTCTTTCAGGTCTGATGTGTGTTGATTTGGATTTTGGATTCGTTGAATTCTTTGGATTTGAATTCTTTGAATTTGAATTGGTAAGTGGCTTCTTCTAGGTGGTGTTGCACGGCGTAGTGAATATGCAGTTGCCGAACCAGTGGTTGTGGGATATGGTGGATGAGTTTGTCTACCAGTTCCAAAGTTTCTGTCAGTTCAGAGCAAAGCTCAAGAACAAAACAGAGCAGGAGATTGCATTGCTCAGACAGCATGATAAGGTCCCTATGATCCTACGATTCGATTCATCAACCAAATGTGTTACTTACTTACTTACCTCTATTGTTGTGTTACTTACCTCCTCAGGCATGGAATGTCTATGGCGTGCTCAACTTCTTGCAAGCACTTGTGGAAAAGTCTTGTATCATCCAAATTCTTGAGCAAGACAAGCATGGCCTTGAACAGTTCACTGCCACTGATGGCTACGATTACAGCGGTGGAAGTAATGTCTTGAAGGTCCTCGGTTACTTCAGCATGGTTGGTCTCTTGCGTGTTCACTGCCTCCTCGGTGACTACCACACTGCTCTCAAATGGTTGCAGCCCATTGACATCACTCAACAAGGTGTTTACACCAGTGTCATTGGATGCCATATCGCTACCATCTATCACTATGGATTTGCCAACCTTATGTTGCGACGCTATCTAGATTCTGTTCGTGAATTCAACAAGATTCTCCTCTACATTTTCAAGACTAAGCAGTACCATCAAAAGTCACCTCAGTACGAGCAATTACTCAAGAAGAATGAGCAGATGTATGCATTACTTGCTCTTTGCCTCTCCCTCTGCCCTCAACCTAAACTCGTTGACGACTCTGTCAGCTCTCAGTTGCGAGACAAGTATGGTGAAAAGATGATGAGGATGCTCAGGTATGACGATGAGGCCTTTGGTATTTACGATGAGCTCTTCTCTTATGCATGCCCCAAGTTTATCACCCCTTCCCCACCAAGTTTCGAGGAACCTCTTGTCAATTACAATCAGGTTACTACTCCACCAGTTTCTTTATAAAACAAAATTTACGAGGACTCTTTGTGTGTTTAACTTTCCCAGCTTGGATTATCTCAGGATGCATACAGGCTTCAGTTGAAGATGTTCCTTTATGAGGTAAAGCAGCAGCAGCTCTTGTCGGGAGTGCGGACATTCCTGAAAGTCTACTCCTCCATTTCTCTTGCTAAGCTCGCAAACTACATGGAAGTTGATGAGCCCACTCTAAGGTGAGGGAGCAACCATGGCCAGATAGATGGCTTTTACCAAAAGTCTCTCCGCAATCTACTTTTTTTTTTTATATATCTTTGACATGTATGGGGTTTTAATTTGCAGGACCATATTGTTAACATACAAGCACAAGACCCATTCAGTTGATTCCGATGGTAGGATCATCTCCAATGCAGACATTGATTTCTACATCAACAATGTAAGTTCTTTCCATATCTTTCTGATATCGATACTCTGGTGCTTTTAGAAGTAACTCTAAATCTGGTGAAACTGCAGGACATGATCTACGTTGTGGAATCAAAACCCGCAAAACGTTATGGTGATTTCTTCTTGCGACAGATTGCCAAGGTATGTAAACTGAAACTAAGACTTGTGCACATGCATGATAAGAGTCCTGACTGTTATTTTGATTTTTTCCATTGCGCAGCTTGAAGGTGTGATAAACGACATGGATCGTGTCAAACTGGAATGAGGACTTTTCTGTGTTACACCTATCATCAATGCCCAATCTGATATGCTCTCTCTTATAAACCCTAAATTTACTTGGAGCCAAACACTTTTGAGAAGCTGTCTTCATGTGGTCAACTGGTGTAGCTCGACTCTTTTCTTGTGTAACTGTAATCATCTTTGTTATGAATTATTTCCAGTTTTTTTTTATTGAGTATTGCATTTCAGATTATAGCCGATCTCGAGTTCCTTTCGAATTATTTGTCCAGATTTGATATGCCAACGATGAGTTTAATCTTCAGTAGTACAACTTTTTCCGTTTAAGATGTGCGAGCTTTCTTGTTCTTGTG